CCTGTGTTGTTGGGTTGGTGCTGCTTAAGTTTCATGTATGCCAAGAGTTTTGAAATTTTGTAGTTCCAGTGTTGCGTTCTATTGTGTCGGTGACGGTGATTAGTGAGGCTTCTAGGCACCGTCGGCGTATCTAGGCTGGTTCGGTGAGACGAGTTGTGCCTCGTTCCAGTTCTGTTCAAATGCCGTGAGTCTCTGTGAGGGGACACAGGCGTACCGTACATCGTCTCTGTTAGAGGACATTTCGAATGCTCATCAGGCCCCGGCTCGATCTCTGCCTGTCTCGCCTAACATTATTTCTTGGGACAGAACCCTCAGGGTTAGTGTAGACGCTGCTGTAGAAGTTAGAGGTGTGGGGCTGCGTTTTGTAGTGAGGTCTTTGATAGAGGTTGTGTTTTGGGTGGAAGCGGTTGAGTTATCATAGCAAGTGCGGCGAGTATTCGTGGCAAAATTCGCCATCATGGGGAGTACTATGAACTGTTTAGGGGGCTGTCATGGGCGGTTTGTTGAGGAATAGAATGTGCTTGAGGATCTGCAAAGCTCGGATGAAGAGATGGGAATGAAGACGTGTAAAGGCTTGTGTTATGTAAGCGCATTATTCTTCTAGAGAAAGCAAGGCTGGGAGATGCGAAGGGATCTCAAGAAGAAGCACAATGAGGTTCCTTCTCTTGAGTGCGGTATCTTGGTGTGAATTAAGTCTGTTATAAGGATTAGTCACTTGTTGGTAGGTTTTATATACAATTTGAAGAGAAAGGTTTGTCACGTCGGGAGTCTGCACACAGTAGAACGTCGAGGAAGGATGTTTTGCCATCATTTTCGAGTTCAAGTGTAACTTTATTGATGGTTCATACAGCACTCTGATCTTGTGGAGATAGGGCCTGAGTATTGAGACGTCTCGGATAGAAATCCTATTTATATCTTCAACGTATCTTAGCCAGGTAAACGGTGTTGGGAATGAGGGTGTGAATTTGTTGTCTCCCAAGTTGTCCATGAAGAGGTTGGCAAGCACAGCTCTGAAGGGGCTGCCCATTGCCATCCCAAAGCATTGTTTGTACAGTTGTCCTGATATTGAAAGAAGTGAATTTTAACACACAGTTCCTACTGATTGATGAAATCTGGAAGCGGTAAGGGAGGTCGTGGTTTTCAGTGAGCCTCTGTTCAGAATGTTGATTGCGCTGTAAGTAGGCAGACGTTGGTAAAGAAGGGGCTGTGACATCGAAGGAAGCCATGCTTTTGTTTTTGACATTCAGGTGGAAATTCGGAGAAGGTCACTGGTGTTTGAGGTGGCTTGGGACTGATAGTGACCGTGAACCAGAAGCGCTGAAATGGTTATTTTGCAAGGTTGCCGGCATAGTCTGTGTGGAGCACTCCCTATGCCCGAAGATGATAGGGCCGTAGTGGGAATGCCAGGTTTGTGTGTCTTAGAGGCCATACAGGAGTGATGGGTTTCTCGGTTGACATGGTTAAAAAGTTTAAGTAGGTTTTTTGCCTTGTTATGAATTTTCGTTCAGATGCTACGAGCCTTTTGAGAAGGAAAGTCTGGGTATTTGAAGTAGCATGATTCGTACAGCGACTGTATGTAGACACCCTTTCTCTCTCTGCTGTTTACGCCTACCATTAGAGAAGCTCTGATGAAAACTGCAGACATGCTCAGAAGGAGGCCTCATTACCGTCATCCCCCCCCAACCCCCTCCCCACCCCGCCCCCCTCCGCCCTGCCGCTCAGATTTAGAGTTCCGTCCTACTCCTGACCTAAGGACTGACAGAATATATACTCAGCCAAGAATACCCCCCTGCCCAACATCCAAACAGAAATTGAAGCTATACGAAAACTACAAGACCTGTGTTCCACAGCAAATGGAGCGAAGAAGTGGGCTCGACCAGAAATCATAAAATAATCGATCTTCCTATACACTAACGTCACCGAAGACAGATGCCTCTGCTTGGGCTAAGTTTACTACTGGCATCAACAGTACACTATCTGATGTGGATAATGGTAGTACAAGAACCAACCTTATGGAGATCCGAGTTTCAAGAAGGGCGTTGTCCAATGAATCATCACCTGCTGCAGCTACTGAGCTTCAAGACCGGTCATTCTCCAGAGAAGATACATCAGCACTTCAGGTCTTTGGCCAAACACAACGATGATATCCGTCATTACAACCGTGACAAAGGAGGTGTGGTGTGGTGTTACTCAACACGGTCGACTACAACAATAAAGTCTTAAATCTTCTCAAACCCCCCCCCCCCCCGACTGCCAACAGATACCAGCCTGTTATCGAATCACAGTGCTATTCAATGTACCCAGGACTTTCTTCCAAAAAGGCTCGTAGCATATTACGAAATTCAGAAACAAGGCAAAAAACTACTTAAACTTTTACAGGTCAACCCGTAACCAGCACGCCTTGTATGGCCTTCCCATAAGAACACAAAACTGGCATCCCACTACCGGCCTATCACTCGGGATAGGGAAGTGCACCACACAGACTAGCCGGCCACCTTGCCAAATACTCCTTTCAGCGTTTCTTGGGGCACTATCAGTCAAGACCACCTCAAACACTCAGGTGACCTATCTCTCCCGAATTTCAACCTGATGTCAAAAACAAAAAGCATGGGCTTCTTCGCGATGTCTCACAGCCCTCTTTTACCAACGTTCCTAGACGCTAGCAATCAACATTCTGAGACAGAGGCTCATCTGAAAACCACGACCTCCCTTTACCTCTTCCAGCTTTCTCATCAAATTTGTGGAACTGTGTGTTAATTTCAACTTCTTCAAGTATCAGGACAACTGGTTATCAAACAAGCTTTGAGGTGCAGATGGCAATGCGGCAGCCGCTCAGTGCTTGTGCTTGCCATCCTGCTTCATGGAAAACTTGGAGACAGTGAAAATTCAGCACCCTCATTCACGACACCGTTACATGGCTAAGATACGTTGATGATTATATTGTTTTTCTATCAGAGACGTCTCAATTCTCTAGGCCCTTCTCTAACAAGTCAATGCAGTGAACATCAATAAAAAGTTTTACACTTGAAACTCGAAAAATGAGGGCCAAAACTCCTTTCTCTCGACGTTCTACTGTGCAGATCTCCGACGTGACCAAATTTCTCTGTCAAAAGTGTTATAGAAAACCTACACCAACAAGGCACGATCTTAGACATTTTATTCAAACAATATACCGAACTAAGAAGAGGAGTCCTACATTGGTTCTTCTTGAGAGGCACTTCGGCATCTCCTGCCCTTGTTTTCTAGAAGAAGAATGCGTCGTAATTAACAGTCAAGCCTTTACAAGTCTTCTGTTCCATCTTTTCTTCATCGAAGATTGCAAGACTCAAGGCACAGTCTATCCTCATACAAACCGCTCCCATGGAACAGCCCCCTAAACAGTTCATAGTATCCCATGTGAGGCGATGTTGCCACGAATACTCGCCGGGCCTTGGATGATTTGACATTCAACGTTTCACACCATTAAAACTTCCTCTATCAAAGACCTCACCCTACCGCAACAGCTCGCCCCACTCCTTAACTTCTACAGCAGGGTCTACACTAGTCCCCTGTGGTGTTTCTGTCCAAGATAATAGGTAGGCTCGAGACAGGCATGATCTATTGCTGTCCGCTGAAGGGCATCTGAAATGCCTCTAACATTGACGTTGTAAGGATACGCCTGTGTCCTCCACAGAGACTCCACGGGGATTGACGACTGGAAACGAAGGCACATAACTCGTTTCACCGTAACAGACCTCAGACGCCGGACGGTGCTGAAGCCTCACTAATCTACCGTCACCGACCACTAAGAACGCAATCACACTGGATAAACTACAAAAATTGTTCAAAAAAATTGGCTATACATGATACTTAAGCAGCACCCAACCCAAACAACTCAGGGTCTGTGATTTCATCGTCTACCCTCGCCTCGGCATGGGAGCAGTAGCGGCCTTCTTACAGTGTTCCTCCATTCTTATGTTCTTATGGACATTCATCAGGCTCCACGTGCGTCAATCTCACTCTCCGCCATATATTTATAGATGTCTTTTCTACCTCTGTATGTTAGAAGTGATCAAAGGTTCCAGACCGAACGTTTTCTAATAAATATGTTATTAGTGTTGCTTAAGTGGTCTTTCCTAAGTACCATATATGACCTTCCATGTAGTTATCATGTCACCCTCTTTTATGACCTTACATATAGTTATCTGTTAATAACCATTTTCCATTTTTTTCTTTGGGGACGGTCTCAAACTTATTAATGGCATATGTAATTCTGGTCAAATAAATGTAAACAGATTTTTTTTTAGCATTTCCCATCGACATATTAAAAGGTTTTTTTAAAGAATTGTGTCAGCAGCGTACCAGGTTCAGTTGTTTGATCTATTGGTGGGTCTATTTGTTAAGTACCACACCCCTAGATACACCTTCTCTGATCATTATCGAATATTTTATGTAGTTCCAATTCTATATTTTGCCTGATTTTCACTCTTCATTTCTATTGCATGCATTTTATCTACGTGGAGTCCATCATCCCATCTGTCACTCCAATTTACATCAACTTTTTCCCAGTCATTCTGCAGAGATTTACAGTGATTTATTTTTTATTTTTTCTACCTGTAATTTTTGCTAGGAATATTCACTATCTTTTATAATTTTTTAAATAATTTATAATAGCTGGGTTTAAAATGTTATTGGTGCAAGTAAGATCCTGGCGGCAACCCCATTGAAACGTCTCCCATCAAGCCATTTTCTCTCAAATAGCGTTTCACTTTCGCAGATCTTCTAACCGTTTTAAGTTTAATTGTGCTTCACAGCACCAATGTTATAATTTTACAAAATGGACTATTTAAAAGAATTATATAAGTTTTTCATCATCTGTCTCAGTTTACTGTCTTGTGAAATCCCATTTTTTTCCCAGGTAAATAGTTGAGATTATTATTGTGTTTTTCTTGACCGTTCTGGTCTTGCTGAAAGGTTTCCTTATACCTGGTCTCCGTTCATGTAATATTGTGTTGTTGCAGAGTGTTGTGGTGAAGAAGTGGTTGTGGCGGGTGTTGTTGATGGTGTTGTGTGCACTCTACACAACTTACTTTATAACTGTACTCGTCGTTCCCACCAAGATAGAGGTCAGTCCTTATGTTTATGGTTTAGTACTCTATTGTAAATATATAAATGTCATTAATACTAATCAATGAGCAGGTTAATTTTCACAGATTAAAAAACATTGAAATTCAAAGGAATATGTATTATTCCATATCTCTCTCTCTCTCTCTCTCTTCTCTCTCCCTCTCATCTCTCTACTCTCTCCCTCTATCTCTCTATCTCTCTCTTTTTTTTTTTTTTTCTTTTTTTTTTTTTTACCCAGGGTTTGACAAGTTTAAGGATGTCCTCTCTCCCTTCTCTCTCTCCTCTCTCCCTCTCTCTCTCCCTCTGTCCTCCTCTCGCTCTCTCGTCTATCATATCGCATCTCCCTCATCTCCCTCTCTCTCTCTCTCTTCTTCTCTCTCTCTCTCTCTCTCTCCCTCTCTTCTCTCTCTCTCCTCTCTCTCTCTCTCTCTATCTCTCTCTCTCTCTACTCTCTCCCTCTCTCGTCTCTCCCCTCTCTCTTCTCTATCTCTCTCTCTCTTCCCTCTCTCCTCTCTCCTCTCTCTCTCTCTCTACTCTCTCCCTCTCTCTCTCTCTCTCTCTCCTACTCTCTCTCTCTTCTCTCTCTCCCTCTCTCCCTCTCTCTCTCTCTCCCTCTCTCTCTCCCTCTCTCGTCTCTACCCTCTCTCTCTCTCCCTCTCTGATCTCTCTCTCTCTCTCTCTCTCTCCCTCTCTCTCTCTTCTCTTCCCTCTCTCTCTCTCTGTCTCTCTCTTCTGCTCTCTCTCTCTCTCTCTTCACTCTTCTATACTATATATATATATATATTATATATATATACTTTAGATACTGTATATATATATTATATATATAACTCTCGCTCTTCTCATGGCTGAGGTGAACTTCGAACCTACCGAATCCTTGGAACAGGTTCGCATTGCTTTACTCGATCTACCCACACTGGACCAAACCGTGGAGTCCAGCTTGAGCTGACTTTGATCCAGGGCAGCCAGCTTTCAGGGAGAAGGCTTACAGGTTTTCATCTCATCCCCTGCCTTACTAGAGATACTAACAATGCAAGCACCGTTTTAGCGATCAGCATCCAGCTTGATGTTTGTGAGCAGGGCATGCACTAGGATTTGGTGCTGGAGAGCACAGCGAGGAGTTGCCATTCAGTGTTGCAATGGCATAGTCGGGTCCTGTATTCCTGCTGAGTCACTGAGGTTATCAGGAAGAATTTGTCTTATCAACTCGTTTGATGCTATGGAAGTGGACAGGAAAGCTGGTAGAGTAATCTGGGTAGCGTCTGCGTACTTCGTAAGCCCTCTAAAACAAAACATAAGGGAATCGACATGTGACAAAGCAGTCCTATATAATTGATAGTTTTGTTGATACTAAATAAACCATCAGTCGTTTTCGTTCACTTTTTTTTTTAGGCTACGTATGTTTTACTTCGCCAGAAAAATTTATGTAGCCGTGCTGTTGGTACGCCAAGAAGATCCTCTCTTAAATTCAAATGTCAGATAATCGTGGTAATGATTTCTATGACTTTACGACCTAAGATTACTAGTGGGTTCTGTTCGAGTCAAGTTGGTGTACAATGCCTCAACTGAGAAATGTTTTTCCTCCTACTTATGTTAGTAGCAATCCACTATGCCAAGACTTAACTCAGGTTTCGGTACCTCGTACTAGCAGTAGTTACTTACCAATTGTGAAATAAATACAGAGCAGTGGGGTCGTGCGAGGGCTGCTAGCAGTTCTGAGCCCCCCTCATTTTCTTTAATTCTTGGTTTTAATAAATTACAAGTATAAGAAAGAATTAAAAAAGATTTCATTATATCGAATTGTTATGCTCGATAATATCTAGTGAATTAGACGAGGTGGTGCAGTTGCAGAGCGCCACCCGCACGAACCGCCACTGTTGCAGAGTACAAAGGATGAAGACTCAGTGTACGTTGTGTTACAGGAGACGAGCTACTGGTGTCAGGGAGACGGATTCCTTATCATCATCACAGCCATTGTCGTCTGTGGACTCTTCTACTTCCACGTGAGTTGACGTAGCCGAATGTTCTTGGTTTTTATCATTCTTTTGTATCAAGCTCTCACTCATTTACCATTTGACACATTTCTACAGATCATTCAAATATTATATACAAAATCATTACCAAAAATAACTGTGCCGTGATATGTGAAGATAGTTTACATGTAACGTTGTGTCTGGTGGTTGCAGGTGGTGAAGCCGCTGTGGGGAGCCTTTCTCTACGACAGAGTGATCAAACTTGTGGTTGCTCTCTGTGGCAAGGTGTGGTTGAACAGGTAAGTTAGCTACAGCAAGGCGGGAATAGGGAGGAGAGGAAGAGAGAATGGGAGAACATGGGAGGCAGTAGTGATTGTAGTTCTCAGCGTGCACGCTAATAACCTGGATAAAATCGAAATAAGTCACTGACTTAGTTTTGGTTATCCTAGGTAACTGACACTGTATGATAATTGTATTATGTGTACCTGCGCCTAAATAAACTTATTTACTTACTAGGTGTGTGTGGTGGGTTGTGGTGCTGGTGGGTTGTGGTGCTGGTGGGTTGTGGTGCTGGTGGGTTGTGGTATCGGTTTTGTGGTGCTGGTGGTTGTGTGCTTGTGTCTGTGTGTCTGTGTGTATTTGTCTGTGTGTATGTGTGTGTGTGTGTGTGTGTATGTGTGTGAGTGTGTGTGTGTGTGTGTGTGTTGGTGTCTGCTGTGTGTCTGTGTGTGAGTGTCTGTGTGTGTTATACACCCATAGGTGGGATGTGTGTGTGTGTGTGTGTGTATACACCCATAGGTGGGATTGTTTGTGTGTGTGTTTATACACCATAGATGGATGTGTGTGTGGTGTGTGTTATACACCATTAGGTGGCATGTGTGTGTGTGTTGTTATACACCCATAGGTGGGATGTGTGTGTGTGTGTTATACACCCATAGGTGGGATGTTTGTGTGTGTGTTATACACCCATAGATGGGATGTGTGTGTGTGTGTGTGTTATACACCCATAGGTGGGATGTGTGTGTGTGTTATACACCCATAGGTGGGATGTGTATGTGTGTTATACACCCATAGGTGGGATGTTTGTGTGTGTGTTATACACCCATAGATGGATGTGGTGGTGTGTGTGGTTATACACCCATAGGTGGGATGTGTGTGTGTGTGTTATACACCCATAGGTGGGATGTGTGTGTGTGTGTTATACACCCATAGGTGGGATGTTTGTGTGTGTGTTATACACCCATAGATGGGATGTGTGTGTGTGTGTGTGTTATACACCCATAGGTGGGATGTGTGTGTGTGTGTTATACACCCATAGGTGGGATGTTTGTGTGTGTTATGCACCCATAGATGGGATGTGTGTGTGTGTTATACACCCATAGGATGTGTGTGTGTGTGTGTGTGTTATACACCCATAGGTGGGATGTGTGTGTGTACGTGCGTGTACACACGTGTATAAACACATGCATGTACTCACCTATGTGGCTGTAGGGGGTCGATTCGTATGTTTGTGTTAGTAGTAAAGGGATTTATCAACAAACACTTGGCCTGGCTTGCTGTTTGTGTGATTGTTGTTTATTGTACTCACCTAATTGTGGTTGCAGGGGTCGAGACTCAGCTCCTGGGCCCCCCTTTTCACTGATGAAAGGATCCTCCCCTTCTCTGCTTCCTGAGCTTTGTCATACCTCTTCTTAAAACTATGTATGGTTCCTGCCTCCACTACTTCACTTGCTAGGCTATTCCACTTGCTGACAACTCTATGACTGAAGAAATACTTCCTAACGCCCTGTGATCGTCGAGTTTCAGTTTCCCAGTTGTGACCCCTTGCCCCCTGTGTCCCCTCTCGGGAACATCCTTCCTGTCCCCCTTGTCTTTTCCCCCGCAGTATCTTGTTGTCTTATCATGCCCCTTTCCCCCTGGGCCCTTTTCTGTCCCAGTGTCGTAAAGCCGTTTTCCCCTTAACCTTTCCAGACGACTTTCCCCTTTGAGCCGGGATAGCCTGTTGCAAACCTTTGTCTTTCTCAATTTTCTTGAATGCTTGCCCGGGGTGTGGGTTCCGACGGGTGCTGCATACCCCATAGGGCCTAACAACACATGTACAGTGCTTGAACGATTCCTTTTTAAGGTATCGAAACGCTACTCAGTTTGCCAGGCCCCCTATGCTGCAGGGTTTTTTGGTTGATGTTGCCCCCGGGATTGCTCGGTGTTAGGGTACCCAAGGTCTTTCTCCCTTGGTGAGGTCTGTAGTCTGTGTCCCCCTAGCCTATACTCGTCTGCGTCTTTTGCCCCCCCCTTTTTCATGACTTTGCATTTGGCTGTTAAATTCGAGAAGCCGTTACTGGCCCACTGCCACCCTCTCCGGGTCTTTTTTTGCAGTCCTCCCTCATCCCGTCCGTTTTTAAATTCTTCTCATCAATAATCACTGCGAACAGGGACACTTCAAGTCTATTCCTTCCTCATGCGTTCACATATACAAAAATAGCATGGCCCAGAACTGACCCCTGTGGGACCCCGCTCGTAACAGGGCCCCCACTGTGATACCTTTCTTCACGTCATGACTCGTTGCTGCCCCCCTGTCGGGTTTTCCCCTTATCCACTGCAGTCCCCTTTCCTTTTTACGTGGCCGATCCTCCACTTCTGCACAATCTTTTTTGGGGGGAACTGTTAAAAGGGCCTTCCTGCAGTCTAGGAAAAGCAATCTACCCACCCCTTTTCCCCGGTCTTACTTCTTTTTACCTTGTCAAAAAACCCCGGAGGTTTGTGAACAAATTTGCCTTCCGAACCCAGTGGTTTTCATTTTAATCTTGTTCCTTTCCAGGTATTCGCCATCCCTCCTGATAATCTTCCCCATGACTTTGCACACAATACATGCAGAGACCAGGTCTGAAAATTTAGTGCCTCGTTTCTTTTTCCCTTTCTTAAATAGGGGACTACAATAGCTGTCTTCCATTTCGGGTAGTTGCCCATTTTTCAAGGGTGTGTTGAAGTTTTGGGGGTTTAGAGGAACACAGCTCTCTGCCCTTCTCTAAGGACCCATGGGAGATGTCCGGGTCCCACGCCTTTGAGGTTCAAGGTCACTTAAGATTCTTCACCTCCTCATTCGATTCATAACACTTGTTGGATTTTCCCTCTTTTTTTCCCTTCGTGCGTCTTCCCACAGCCTTCCTGTTCTACTGAAAAAAACTTCCTTAAATCTCTGTTCAGCCCCTACATACCTCCTGATCATTTCTTGTGATTTTCCCCACCCTGTCCTTAATTGATCACCGGTCTTGACTGTTGTCTTCCCCTGATGGGGCATACAACGTTTCGGGTCATCTTGATTCTCGATGCTAGTCTTTTTCAACTGTCCTGGGCCTCCTCCTTACCTTGCGTATCTTTCCCTGGCCTGCACGATCTCCCTATTTCGTGTGTTTCGCTTCTGTATTTTTTCCATTCTTATTGACTTTTTTTTTGCCCCCTTTACACCGCGGGAAACCGGGCTCGTTCTGGTTTTTCCCGTTGTTCTGTTGCCTTAGAATAAACCTTTCCCGCCCCCTTTTGCATTTTGTTGCTACATTTTGCTCTTTTCATTTACTGGCTTTCCTGCCATTCTCGTCCCACTAAACCCCCGCAGGAAGTTCTTAAACCCTATGTAGTCCCCCTTTTAAGTCAGGTTTTCCCATTCACTCCTGTTATTCTCTCCACTTGCAGCTTACAGTTTCAAAGCAAGAACCCGTGGTCGCTAGCCCTGGGGACCCTCATATTGGGTGTCCTCAATTCTGACTGCCCGGGGTGAACAAAAGGGTCCAATTTGCTGGTTCATCCCCCCTCTCACTCGGGTATGTCCTTAACTTTTTGGTACATTTTTTTCCAGCCCCACGTCCAAATCCTGGCTCTCCATGTTTGGGGCCCCCCCCTGGGGCTCCGGGTTTCCCCAGTAAATTTCCCCCTTTGTGGTTGAAATCCCCCATAACCCAGAAAATTTGCTCTGCGGGATGAGCTCTTCTTGCCACCTCAGAAATGTGTCCCCATTGCTCGTTGCTCTCTTCATATTCCTCTCTTGGCCCCCTGCAGTTTGTGGTGGATTATACATCACTAAAAGCCCACTTTGTTCCCCAGACTGAAGTGTACCTGCTATGTAGTCCCCTTTCCCCGTCTCTCATTCCTTCCATTTTCTGAATTCCATCTTTTTTTTTTAAAGAAGAAACCCCCCCGCCCCCCCCCTGCCCCTTTATCTTTCCCCATGATCGGGTATCCTGGGGGGAAGATTGATCTGTTATTGTCCCCATGATTTTTTGTTTCTGTAACTGCTAATGACTGAGGACTTCTCATTATTCTTTCTTGCCTTCCTCATGTTTTTTTCGTTAATCCATCTGCATTTGTGTACCAAAACCCTTTAACTTCTGTTCTAATACTTAACGGGTTCGGGAGGGGGGAAACAAGGGATGGGTGGTGATGGTTGGTTTTGGGATTTTTTCATTTCCCTTGGGGTGTCGTGGCTGGAGCCCCTTCTGCGGGTTTTCGGGGGGGGTGCACTTGTCCTTCCATTTGACCCTGGTTATTCTCTTTTGCCTTTTATTTTCCCCATTTCTCCTTTCGTTTTTAACTCTCTCTTTCATTGTTTCCTTTCGCCCTGTGTTCTGCTGCTCGGGGTACACATTTCCGGAACTCCGCTTGCCTCTCAGCCCTGCTTTCTCCTGCAAACGTGGTTTGGGTTGATTTTTGCCTTGAAAATTTCTTTTAGAGGCCGATTCCTTTTTTTTGGAACCCCCAATTCTCCCAAAATTTTCCACCTGGGTCATTCCCCCTCGCCATCACCTTCATGAAACTTCAATCCTTTTTTTTCTCCTCCCGCTTTTTTTCATCATGATTTCCCCCTTTTCTTCGTCTAGCCATAGACAAACACGATCTCTCCCTTTCCCCCCCCCTGTGCTCCCCTTCACCTCTGATGTGTTTTTTGTTCCTTTTCCCCTGGGGGTTCCTTCCTTATCCCTTCCCTATTAGGCCCCTACTTCTTGGTTTTTCCTTCCTGCCACTGCTCCTGGCCCCCCCCATGTATTTTGGTAAGGCCGCACATGCCTAGTTCCTTCAATGTCTTTCCAAACCCCTCTTTCTGTCCTAGTTGCCCCGTCTTTGTTTTGGCCCTGGGGTTTGACAGGACCCCTGCATACAGTTTAGTTTCCTGCTTCCTTGACTGTTGTTGTGTTCGATATAGCCCTTGCCCAGCTACTTCTGTAATATCTTGTTCTGTGTGTTTTAGTGTCTAGCTCTTCTTCTAACTCTCTATCTTGTTTCTGCGCTGTGGCCTGTTGCTTTCCCCCTTCTGCATTTGCGCTAACCTCTCTTCCTTTCCTTTCCGCTCATCTATCTCCCTTTCCCCTCTTCCCCCCTTTTTTTTAGCTCTATCTCCCATTCCCCCCTCAATTCGTCCTTGGGGCCCCTTGTCCTCATCCTGGTTAGGGGGGGGGGAATAGATGGTTATGAGAGGGGATGGAGGTTGTGGGGGAGGGGGAGGAGGTTATTGGAGGGGGAAGATATTTTGGGGGGAGTTAGATGGTTTGGGGGGAGAGGGGATTAGGGTTTGGGGGAGGGGGGGAGGATGGTTTTGGAGGGAGGGGGTTGTTGGGCGGGGGTTAACGGTTTTAGGAGGGGTTTGGGGGTTTTTTTGGGGGGGGTAGGTGGTAGGGAGGGGTTTGGGAAGGGGGGGTTTACTGTTTTTTAAGTGTTTTTTTAAAGTGTTTGTGTCAATGGTGGGGGGTTTTGTGTGGGTTTTGGTGTGGTGTGTGTGTGTGTGTTATGTGCGTTTGTGTGTGTGGTTGTGTGTGTGTGTGTGTGTGGTGGCGTTTTGTGTGGTGTGTGGTGGGTGTTTTTGTGTGGTGGTGTGTGTTGTGTGTGTGTATTGTTTGTATCACCTGTTGTACTCCCTAGTGGGTTTTCGGGGGGGCGAGTCCAGCCCCTGGGCCCCCCTCTTCATTATCGCTCTATCACCTCCCCGGGCCCTGGCTTTATCAACCCTCTTAAGCTATGTAGGGTCCTGCCTCCCTACATCGCTTCCCAAAATTTCCACTTCTTACACCTGTGGCGAAGAAATACTCCTAACATCCCTGTGATTTATCTGTGTCTTCAGCTTTCCCAACTGTTCCCCTTGTTTTGTGTCCAATCTCTGGGAAAATTTTTTTTCTTGTCCACCTTTGTCAATTTTTCCCCCCAGTATTTTTTATGTCGTTTTTCATGTCCCCCCTATCTTCCCGTCCTCCAGTGTCGCATTGATTTCCCCCAACCTCTCCTCGTAGGCATCCCCCTTATCTGGGACTAGTTTGTTGCAAACCCTTTTTCCTTTTCTGTTTCTTCACTTTTTTCTAGGGGGGTTCCAAATGGTGCCGAACTCCCCAATATGGGGCCTAACATACCGGTGTGTGTATGTGTTGGTGGAATGTGTTGTGTGTGTGTGTTGTTGGTGTGTGTGTGGTTACTTACTAAATTTTGGGTTTCATGGGGCGAGACTCAGCTCCTGGCCCCCTCTTCATGACCGCTTGGGTCCCCCTCTCTCTGCTCCCCTGAGCTTTATTATACCTGTCTTAAAACAGTATGGTTCCTGCCCCAGTACATCACTTCCAACTATTCCACTTTCTAAAAACTCTTGGGGGTGAAGGATTGTAGTGTGTGGTACTCATCACCTTTGTAAACCCATTTGTGGTTGCAGGGGGGGAGTTTAGTCCCGGCCCCGCCTCTTACCGGTTGCACTGGGGCCCCCTCTTCCCCGCTCCATGAGCTTTATCAAACCCGTCTTAAAAAATGGTATGGTTCCGCCTCCACTACGTCATTTTTTAGCATTCCCCGCCTTACAACTCTAGACTGAAGAAATACTTCCTCTACCTCTGACTTTTTGTGTCTTCAACTCCAATTTTGGCCTCTTGTTTTGTGTCCCCTCCCCGGAACACCTGTCCTTTTTCCACCTTTCTATTCCCCGCAGTATTTTTTATGTCGTTATCGCCCCCCCTGACCCTCCTGTCCCCAGGTGGTCAGGCCGATTTCCCTTAATCTTTCTTCTAGGAAATTTTCCCCCTTTGTCTGGAAATAACCTGTCGCAAAACCTTTTTACTTTCCTAGTTTCTTGACGTGCTTTTTCAAGTCGGGTTTTAAACAGGTGCTGCATACTCCAGTTGGGCCCACATACCGGTGTACAGTGTCTTTAATGATTCCCTTTCTAAGGGTTTTGGAATGCGTTCTCGGTTTTTCCGGCGCCCATATCTGCACAGTTATCTGATTATGGTGCTTCCCGGAACAGCTCGGTGTTTTACTACCCCAAAATCTTCTCCTTGAGTGAGGTTTGGTTTTGGCCCCAGCCTATACCTGTCTGTGTCTTCTGGCCCTCCCCCTTTTTCATGACTTTTTTTTGGCAGGAAATTTAAAATTTGAAAGCCATTTGCTGGCCCCGGTGCCGTTGTCCAGGTTTTTTGAAGCCTGCCTGGCCTCATCAGATTTAATTCCCCCTCATTAACTTCACATCATCGCAAACAGGGACATTCTGAGTCTAACCCTTCCGAGTCGTTCAATATACCAAAAATAGCACTGTCCTAGGACCGACCCCTGTGGGACCCGCCGTCACAGGTGCCCACTTTGGTACATCATTCGTACCCTACTCGTTGTTTTCCCCCCTGTCAGGGTTTTTTTGATCCATTTCATGCCCTTCCTTTTTATGCGCCTGATGCCTAGCTTTCACTAATCTCTTGTGAGGAACTGGTCAAAGGCCTTTTTTGCAGTCCAAGAAAAGCAATCAACCCACCCCGTGTGGGTGGTGGTGTGCGGTGTGTCGGTGTGTGCGGTGGTGCGTGTGTGGTGTGTGTGTGTGGTGTGTTTTGTGGTGTGGGTGCACTCACCTATTTGTGGTTGCAGGGGTCGAGACACAGCTCCTGCCCTGCCTCTTCGCAGGTCGCTACAAGGCCACTCCCTGCTCCGTGAACTATCATACCTCTTCTTAAAGCTATGTATGAATCCTTCCTCCACTGCCTCACTTTCCAGACTATTCCACTTCCTGACAACTTTGTGACTGAAGAAATACTTCCTAACATCTCTGTGACTCATCTGAGTCTTGAACTTCCAATTTTGACCCCTTGTTGCTGTGTCCCACCTCTGGAACATCTTATATCTGTCCACCTTGTCGATTCCTCTCAGTATTTTATATGTTGTTATCATATCCACCCTGTCCTCCAGTGTTGTCAGGTCAGTTTCCCTTAACCTCTCCTCGTAGGACATACCCCTTAGCTCCGGGACTAGTCTTGTTGCAAATCCTAGCACTTTCTCTAATTTCCTGACGTGCTTGCCCAGGTGTGGGTTCCAGGCTGGTGCTGCATACTCCGATATAGGCCTGATAAACACGGTGTACAGTCCTGAACGACTCCTTACTGAGATGTCGGAAAGTTATTCTTAGGTTTGCTAGTCGCTCATGTGTTGCAACAGTTATTTGGTTGATGTGCACCTCAGGTGATATGTTCGGTATTATGGTCATCCCAAGATCCTTTTTCTTGAGTAAGGTTTGTAGTCTTTGGCCTCCTAGGCTGTATTCTATCTGCGGTCTTCTTTGCCCTTCCCCGATCTTCATTACTTTGCACTTAGGAGGGTTGAACTCCAGGAGCCAGTTGCCAAACCAGGCCTACAGCCTCTCCAGATCCCTGTGCAGTCCTGCTCTGTCCTCCTCCGAATCAGTTCTCCTTATTAACTTCACATCGTCTGAAAACACACTCTTCTGAGTCTGTTCCTTCCGTCATGTCATTCACATATACCATAAACAGTACCGGTCATGTGTGTGTGTGTGTGCGCGCGTGTGAATGCATAGACCAGCATGTGGAAACTTCGGGCTGTGTTAACAATAAGATACACCAACAGGTGGGTGCGGTGGGTGGTGTATGTGATGCTGGTGGGTGCTGTGGTGATCTTCCTGGTGGTGGACGCTAGGGAAGACCCACGTCGTCTCATCTCTCTCTTTGGCATCGTGGTTCTTCTGGTGTTCGGGTTCGTCTTCTCAGTGGCTCCTCGTAAGGTGAGTCTTCTCAGTGGCTCCTCGTAAGGTGAGTCTTCTCAGTGGCTCCTCGTAGCGTGAGTCTTCTCAGTGGCTCCTCGTAAGGTGAGCCTTCTCAGTGGCTCCTCGTAAGGTGAGTCTTCTCAGTGGCTCCTCGTAAGGTGAGTCTTCTCAGTGGCTCCTCGTAAGGTGAGTCTTCTCTGTGGCTCCTCGTAAGGTGAGTCTTCTCAGTGGCTCCTCGTACCGTGAGTCTTCTCAGTGGCTCCTCGTAAGGTGAGTCTTCTCAGTGGCTCCTCGTAAGGTAAGTCTCGTCTTTATTTCAGGTGACGGAGGTACCAACGTGTACAACTTAATCATTTATTTCATTTATTATTGTTGTCCTGCTGATAATAGTCTACCACTTCCTTACCAGTTTTATAATTCCAATAATTAGATTAACTAAAGTTCGTGAGTTGATCACAACTTGCTAATAGTGGATGACCAAAACTCGGCCGATTTTAGCCATTAATTATAATTTGAATTTTAAAATGTTAAGTTGATTTTGCAGTTGGTATAATATCTTTTGTGCAAATGGTAAAAAAAATGTCTAAAATAAACGAAACGAAACTTAAAATAGCCTAAGATAACTTAACCTGCGCTATCTCACCCGTCTTATTATAATAAGATTTATTATAATAAGATTTATTATAATAAGATTTATTATAATAAGATTTAATAAATTGTTTTCGATATCTCCCAAAATATAAATTTTCAAACACAAAAAAATACTTATTCTGTGATATACCCAAATTGTAATACACGAGTTCCGCCCAGTAGTAGGATATAAATGTATGTTCGGTAAATATGAACGGCGCACACTGTGGTGCATGGTGTTCCTTGATGCTGGTGAGGGGCTCTTGATCTAGGGAACCGGATCTGTGCTCCAGTTCCCTGAGTTAACCCTGAATACCTTCCATCCCTCCCCCAAGCACTGTATAATCCTATGGGTTTAGTGCTTCCCCTTGATTATAATAATAATGTGGTGCATGGTTTAAAGGCGCACACTGCGATGCATGGTTTAGAGAGGTTGTTGAACATAATACTGTTTTTGTACAGATACGGTGGCGTCACATTGCCTGGGGTATGGGTCTACAGTTCCTGCTGGGTGTTGCTATCCTGAGGTGGCCGCTAGGGCAGGCAGTGTTCCAGTGTGCTGGCGACAAGGTCTCCACCTTCCTCGCCTTCACTGACTCTGGCTCCTCCTTCGTCTTCGGTCCTCTAGTCTCTAAACAACATATATTCGGCTTCAAGGTATATTACTTCATGTGTCGCGGCCCCTTCAAGGGCTTCCCCTTCATGCCAGTAAAGGTTTTTCTATCCAAGGAAGTCAACTTTTCAACAATCCTAAGGGTTTCTTACAAGTATTTAGGAATAATATTAGTGAAGATATAGACCCACTTAAATGTAACTCGGGTCATCTTACTGTTAATAATAACGAACTGTGTACCATTTTCAACACTTATTTCCTCTGTTTTCATACGAGGATTCAAACGAAATCGCAGAAATAAATATACTGGTCAGGATGAAAGTAAGTTATGCAATATCAAGGTCACTAATGTTGAAAATGGTATAAAATACCGACAAGTTCACTAAGTACATGTGCAACACTTGAGTATCTTTGCTGTTAAAACGTTTCGTCTATACAGTAGACTTCTTCAGTCCAATACAGAGGCAGCAAGTGTAGTAGCACAACGGTATCTTGGTACATAGGACATCTTTCACACTTCATTCGCGTAACTACTAGTTATGAGTGAGAAAGGTTGGATTCCAGAGGGACCTGCCTTCTTACTTCTAGTGAATCCCATCCCCTGCAACGTCTTCGAGATCTTCTGCCTTACCTTCGACAGTATTTAAGACTCCATTCTCATGCAACAGCTTCATATCGTTACAGACTATGGAGCTGAACTCTTCCAGGCTGAGGGACTGACCACCTTAAACACCATTTCTCCAAGGTTGAGGGACGGATTACATCTTCATTTCGCTACTACACCTGTTGCCTTTGTATTTGACTGAAGAGGCCTACTGTGTAGGCTAAACCTTTCAACAATAAAGAGAACCCACTGTTGCACTTCTTAATCATGAAGGTCACTAACTACATGATCCTAAAACAAGCCATGGGGCCCTGATGAGCTGTTAAGGGTTGTAAAGGAATGTAAGTAGGAACTTAGTGAACCATTTGATTGTCTCTTCAACATATCACTACAATCTAGCACCGGAAAAATGGTAAATGTAATTCCCATTTACAAAACTGGAGATAGATCTTTAGTTTCAAGTTATAAACCTGTCAGCCTAACCCCAATTGTGGGAAAGCTGATGGAATCGATAACTGTTGATGGAATTCTAAGCTGTCTTGAAAGATACGGTTTAATCAACCAATCTCAGCAGTTTTACAAAGGGTCGTTGCTGCCTAGTGAATATACTAACTTTTTTCACTCGTATTAGGTAACCCAAGATGAAGAAAAGATATAATAATCCTAGGATTATCGTATACTACGATACGATAATCCTAGCAAAAATAAATAACAGTGGTACAAGTTTAGTAGTGTAGAAAAAGGAGTTCTGGTTAACACAAATTTGAAGTCAAGTTAACAGTTCATAATAATGAAGTTAATAGAATTTTTGGCTTCATATCAAGAAATATAAATACTGGAAGTCCTAGATTACATTTAAAGTTAATACGTCTTTAGTTACATTTACAGAAGTTTATGCTACTTATTTCGGATCCCCATATTAAAGGATGGACATAAATGCACTGGAAAGTATATAGACAAGAATGACCAAGTTGATTCCATGTATTAAAAACCGTCCATAAGAAAAGAGGCTGAAAAAGAAAAGAGGAGTAAAATTAGGGAACATGTGATTGAACAGAACAAATGAAAGTCAACATAGACAAGAATAAATAAAAGTCAACATAGACAAGAATAAATAAAAGTCAACATAGACAAGAATAAATAAAAGTCAACATAAATAGCGTGCTGAAAATATGTGATCAGCACAAGACTCACGACAATGGATTCAAATTGGAGAAATTTGAATTTAGAAAAGATATTGGGAAGTGGCAGTTCGGCAGTAGAGTTGTAGATGACTGAAACTAACGTCCAGGATGCCTAATTGAGGCAAGAACTTTGGTAATTTTAAATATAGGTTGGACTGGTACATGAGTGGGTGTGGGTATTTAATTTACCTAGCATTGCCCAGTAGGTTTACTGTAGTGTTCCTTCGTTCTTATGTTCCTCTAAGTTTCCTGATTGCCTTCCATTCTCCAGGCGCTACACAACCCATACGGGTTTGGCTGTTCCTTGTTAATATAATAGTGTTGGCAGCTACTGACAGGTTAGGAAATCAACTGTATACTTGAAGTTGACACAGAACCTGCTTCGCCGCGCCGGTACGTAACTATCATACCAAGCTTCGCCGCGCCGGTACGTAACTATCATACCAAGCTTCGCCGCGCCGGTACGTACTATCATACCAAGCTTCGCCGCGCCGGTACGTAAACTATCATACCAAGCTTCGCCGCGCCGGTACGTAACTATCATACCAAGCTTCGCCGCGCCGGTACGTAACTAATCATACCAAGCTTCGCCGCGCCGGTACGTAACTATCATACCAAGCTTCGCCGCGCCGGTACGTAACTATCATACCAAGCTTCGCCGCGCCGGTACGTAACTATCATACCAAGCTTCGCCGCGCCGGTACGTAACTATCATACCAAGCTTCGCCGCGCCGGTTACGTAACTATCATACCAAGCTTCGCCGCGCCGGTACGTAACTATCATACCAAGCTTCGCCGCGCCGGTACGTAACTATCATACCAAGCTTCGCCGCGCCGGTACGTAACTATCATACCAAGCTTCGCCGCGCCGGTACGTAACTATCATACAAGCTTCGCCGCGCCGGTACGTAACTATCATACCAAGCTTCGCCGCGCCGGTACTAACTATCATACCAAGCTTCGCCGCGCCGGTACGTAACTATCATACCAAGCTTCGCCGCGCCGGTACGTAACTATCATACCAAGCTTCGCCGCGCCGGTACGTAACTATCATACCAAGCTTCGCCGCGCCGGTACGTAACTATCATACCAAGCTTCGCCGCGCCGGTACGTAACTATCATACCAAGCTTCGCCGCGCCGGTACGTAACTATCATACCAAGCTTCGCCGCGGGCCGGTACGTAACTATCATACCAAGCTTCGCCGCGCCGGTACGTAACTATCATACCAAGCTTCGCCGCGCCGGTACGTAACTATCATACCAAGCTTCGCCGCGCCGGTACGTAACTATCATACCAAGCTCTGAATAAAATAAATTTGGCATTATTATATTCCCGGAACAAGTGTTCCAGGAATATAATAAATAATAACAGGATATGTATATTAATTTCGGTGTTATTTCTGTTCAGGTGTTGTCGGTGATCTTGTTCTTCAGCTTCTGCATCCAGATCTTGTATTACTGGGGAGTGATGCAGTGGGTGGTGATCAAGCTGGGCTGGTTCCTGCAGGTCACAGTGGGCACCACTGCCTGTGAGAGTGTCAACGCTGCTGCCAACATCTTCCTCGGTCAGGTGAGTAGCATTAGCGCACCTGTGATAACACACTATTTCACTGTTGTGATGATAGTCAAATGTGTGACTGATAAACTAGTTTTAAATATTGGTATCGTCTGATAGATCTCTAATGGGTCGCAGTTTTCTGTTCTGGCGCCACCCCTTCTGATAGCTCAGTAAATTTATTTAGGTATACACACACACACATACATATATAATTTTATAATATATATATATATATATTATAATATATATATATATATATAATATATATATATATATATATATGCAATAAGATTACAGTAAACAGGTGATTTCAGAATATGCAAAACAACCACTGTGAAAGAATAGAGAAGTTCAATGCGCTTTCGTGACTACTCACATTATCAAGGAACAATGAAAGTAAAGCATTAAAGGAAGGTAATAAAAGGGGTAGCCCACACCTCACTATCAGATCCCACAACAATCGAAACACCTGACGCGAGACAGCAGGCCCGCCGGCCGGACTAGACAGGTCCTTCTTACAACCCACCAACAAACTATTCTACCTAAGAAATAAGAAATTTAAAAAATTATTATTTGTCCAATGTATTATTAAATTCTTCCCAAATTCTATAATTATAAATGGATCTAATTTATATAAACCAAAGGAAATATTCATATTATTGTCAAAACTGCTTTTTATGAAACAAGATTCAATTATATTCCTATCGACCATGGACTTGCTTGGTACTACTTTCTCAACTTTTTGAAAATCAATTGGATGGTTAAAATCTCTTACATGAATAAATAGAGCATTGGAATCTTGTCCAGTTCTAATGCTATATTTATGTTGTTTTAATCTTAGTTCGAGATTTTTACCAGTTTGACCGTAATAAACTTTATCGCAAATTTTACAAGGAATCTTATAGACACATCCATCAGCATTTTGAGGGGAATTCTTTATCAAAAGTTTTTTTACTGTATCAAGATTTTTGAATACAACTTTAATATTAAAAGTCTTAAGAAGAGAAGGCATATCAACCAAGTTTTCATGGTAAGGGAGAACCAACATATTTTTAGTTGAATAAGGCTGGTTGTTTCTTTTTGGATTGTAAAAAGTATTTCTAGCAACTTTAAAAGATTTATCAATTACATTTCTTGGGTATTTCAAATCATTACCTATTTCATAAATTTTGGATATTTCCTCATCTATGAACTCTGGACTACAAATTCGTAAAGCTCTCAAAAACATTGATGAGAAAACAGACAGTTTAACTCTATCTTGATGGGAAGAATAATAGTGGACATAGGAACAGTTATTTGTAGGTTTTCTGTAAATTTTAAATTTGAATTCATTATTACCCTTAATAATTAAAACATCTAGAAAAGGCGCTTGGAACTTCTCTATTCTTTCACAGTGGTTGTTTTGCATATTCTGAAATCACCTGTTTACTGTGATCTTATTGCATTAATGGATACCACACGACTCTTCAGAATGTTCTCGATAAGCTTTCCTAATCATATTTCTTTTGTTTCCCAGTTTTCTTCTGCACTGATCAAGTCCCACAAGTTAAAAATTCGACTTAATTTTTTAAAAAATTGTTTAAATGAACAAGTTCTGCCCACGTGTCTTTTAGCCAATATCATCCTTGACATGAGAGATCGTCCTTTTGATGATTTTATGAGAATTATTCTTCAGAAACATATTGAAATAACTAAAATACAGGAGAAGGAAGCATTCAAAATATTGAGAAACAAAAAATACTCTTTTAATCAGGCCATTCCATCAGAATGGAAACACAGTATGTTGGATCATTGCTATAATAAACTCAGAAGAATTTGTATTGAACTCAAGAACAAACTACAAAGAAAATTAGACATTTTAATTGAAAATAGTGATTGGACAAAGCATGCTAATAATAATTTTGTAATTAACTTATCAGATGAAATTTTAGACAAACATACAACTGCTGCTCTAGGTTTTGGCCTAAGTTTTGCAACTTCAAAAAAACTTAATAATGTTGAAATTGCAAAAGCCTTTTGTAACTTTGAAAAAATTTCTGATTTATCCTCTGATGAAATTAATATTAGTAAAGGAATGGTATACAGCTCTATGTTAAAACCAAACATTAACAATTGCCCTCAAAGATTCTTTAAGTCTTATGATACACTTAATAACAATAAAAATTTGCGCCTTACTAAAGCAGACAAAATAAATGCAATAGTAATTATGAAAGAAAATGATTACCAAGAAAAAATGAATAATCTCTTAGATGATACTGAAACCTATTCTAACCTTAGAAAAAATCCCCTAGAAACCGTTAGCAGCAATTTCAATAAAACAATAAAACTTCTACTGAAAGGCAAAGATGAATTAGTCAAACAATTTACTTCCACTAATCCATCTTTACCTTACATGTATGGACTAATAAAAACACACAAACCAGGTAATCCAGTCAGACCAATTATTAGCTCCATAGGGTCAGTTTCATATAAATTATCCAAATGGCTTGTTGATATTTTGAGCCCTATTGTTGGCAAAATTTCTAACTTTAATGTTAAAAACAACGTAGATTTAGTTGATAAATTAAGCTCCTTGACTGACTTAAATGATTTTAACATGGTTAGTTTTGATGTTACTTCCTTGTTTACGAAAGTTGCTGTTGATGATTTATTAAGTTTCTTATCTGAAGAACTCGTTAATTATGATTTACCATTGCCAGTTCCTACTATCATTAAACTTATTAAACTTTGCATTGTTGATGCAAAATTTGTATTTAATGATAAGTTTTACACTCAGAAGTTTGGTATGGCAATGGGAAATCCTCTTTCACCTGTTCTTAGTAACCTATACATGGAATTTTTTTAAACAAGGCTGCTTAACACAATCCTCCCTAATAGAGCTAAATGGTTCAGATATGTTGATGATATTTTGTGTCTTATGCCCAAAAATGTAGATATACACCATTTCCTTGGCAAATTAAATAGCTTAGCCCATTCAATAAATTTTACTGTTGAATTTGCCTTTTCTAGATGTTTTAATTATTAAGGGTAATAATGAAATCAAATTTAAAATTTACAGAAAACCTACAAATATCTGTTCCTATGTCCACTATTATTCCTCGCATCAAGATAGAGTCAAACTGTCTGTTTTCTCATCAATGTTTTTGAGAGCTTTACGAATTTGTAGTCCAGAGTTTATAGATGAGGAAATATCCAAAATTTATGAAATAGGTAATGATTTGAAATACCCAAGAAATGTAATTGATAAATCTTTTAAAGTTGCTAGAAATACTTTTTATAATCCAAAAAGAAACAACCAGCCTTATTCAACTAAAAATATGTTGGTTCTCCCTTACCATGAAAACTTGGTTGATATGCCTTCTCTTCTTAAGACTTTTAATATTAAAGTTGTATTCAAAAATCTTGATACAGTACAAAAAACTTTTGATAAAGAATTCCCCTCAAAATGCTGATGGATGTGTCTATAAGATTCCTTGTAAAATTTGCGATAAAGTTTATTACGGTCAAACTGGTAAAAATCTCGAACTAAGATTAAAACAACATAAATATAGCATTAGAACTGGACAAGATTCCAATGCTCTATTTATTAATGTAAGAGATTTTAACCATCCAATTGATTTTCAAAAAGTTGAGAAAGTAGTATCAAGCAAGTCGATGGTCGATAGGAATATAATTGAATCTTGTTTCATAAAAAGCAGTTTTGACAATAATATGAATATTTCCTTTGGTTTATATAAATTAGATCCATTTATAATTAATAGAATTTGGGAAGAATTTAATAATACATTGGACAAATAATAATTTTTTAAATTTCTTATTTCTTGGGTAGAATAGTTTGTTGGTGGGTTGTAAGAAGGACCTGTCTAGTCCGGCCGGCGGGCCTGCTGTCTCGCGTCAGGTGTTTCGTTGTTGTGGGATCTGATAGTGAGGTGTGGGCTACCCCTTTATATACCTTCCTTTAATGCTTTACTTTCATTGTTCCTTGATAATGTGAGTAGTCACGAAAGCGCATTGAACTTCTCTATTCTTTCACAGTGGTTGTTTTGCATATATATATATATATATATATATATATATATATATATATATATATATTTATATATATATATATATATATATATATATAAATTATCATACATAACAGCATATGTGTAGAGAACCCGGGATAACTAAAAAAAAGTCAGACAAAGTGACTTATTTCCATTGTGGTTCTTACATTTCACTTGTTACCGTAGTGGTACATTATAGTTAGTTTTTTATTGCTAGACAACACTAACCCAGTGTTTCTCAGACAACACTAACCCAGTGTTTCTCAGACAACACTAACCCAGTGTTTCTCAGACAACACTAACCCAGTGTTTCTCAGACAAACACTAACCAGTGTTTCTCAGACAACACTAACCCAGTGTTTCTCAGACAACACTAACCCAGTGTTTCTCAGACAACACTAACCCAGTGTTTCTCAGACAACACTAACCCAGTGTTTCTCAGACAACACTAACCCAGTGTTTCTCAGACAACACTAACCCAGTGTTTCTCAGACAGCACAAACCCCAGTGTTTCTCAGACAACACTAACCCAGTGTTTCTCAGACAGCACTAACCCAGTTTTTTCTCAGACAACACTAACCCAGTGTTTCTCAGACAACACTAACCAAGTGTTTCTCAGACAACACTAACCCAGTGTTTCTCAGACAACACTAACCCAGTGTTTCTCAGACAACACTAACCCAGTGTTTCTCAGACAACACTAACCCAGTGTTTCTCAGACAACACTAACCCAGTGTTTCTCAGACAACACTAACCCAGTGTTTCTCAGACAACACTAACCCAGTGTTTCTCAGACAACACTAACCCAGTGTTTCTCAGACAACACTAACCCAGTGTTTCTCAGACAACACTAACCCAGTGTTTCTCAGACAACACTAACCCAGTGTTCTCAGACAACACTAACCCAGTGTTTCTCAGACAACACTAACCCAGTGTTTCTCAGACAACACTAACCCAGTGTTTCTCAGACAACACTAAACCCAGTGTTTCTCAGACAACACTAACCCAGTGTTTCTCAGACAACACTAACCCAGTGTTTCTCAGACAACACTAACCCAGTGTTTCTCAGACAACACTAACCAGTGTTTCTCAGACAACACTAACCCAGTGTTTCTCAGACAACACTAACCCAGTGTTTCTCAGACAACACAAACCCCAGTGTTTCTCAGACAACACTAACCCAGTGTTTCTCAGACAAACACTAACCCAGTGTTTCTCAGACAACACTAACCCAGTGTTTCTCAGACAACACTAACCCAGTGTTTCTCAGACAACACTAACCCAGTGTTTCTCAGACAACACTAACCCAGTGTTTCTCAGACAACACTAACCCAGTGTGTTTCTCAGACAACACTAACCCAGTGTTTCTCAGACAACACTAACCCAGTGTTTCTCAGACAACACTAACCCAGTGTTTCTCAGACAACACTAACCCAGTGTTTCTCAGACAACACTAACCAGTGTTTCTCAGACAACACTAACCCAGTGTTTCTCAGACAACACTAACCCAGTGTTTCTCAGACAACACTAACCCAGTGTTTCTCAGACAACACTAACCCAGTGTTTCTCAGACAACACTAACCCAGTGTTTCTCAGACAACACAAACCCCAGTGTTTCTCAGACAACACTAACCCAGTGTTTCTCAGACAACACTAACCAGTGTTTCTCAGACAACACTAACCCAGTGTTTCTCAGACAACACTAACCCAGTGTTTCTCAGACAACACAACCCAGTGTTTCTCAGACAACACTAACCCAGTGTTTCTCAGACAACACTAACCCAGTGTTTCTCAGACAACACTTAACCCAGTGTTTCTCAGACAACACTAACCCAGTGTTTCTCAGACAACACTAACCCAGTGTTTCTCAGACAACACTAACCCAGTGTTTCTCAGACAACACTAACCCAGTGTTTCTCAGACAACACTAACCCAGTGTTTCTCAGACACACTAACCCAGTGTTTCTCAGACAACACTAACCCAGTGTTTCTCAGACAAAACAATAACCCAGTGTTTCTCAGACAACACTAACCCAGTGTTTCTCAGACAACACTAACCCAGTGTTTCCAGACAACACTAACCCAGTGTTTCTCAGACAACACTAACCCAGTGTTTCTCAGACAACACTAACCCAGTGTTTCTCAGACAACACTAACCCAGTGTTTCTCAGACAACACTAACCCAGTGTTTCTCAGACAACACTAACCCAGTGTTTCTCAGCCTCTTTATCCCTGAGGAACCTTACAATAATTTTTATGTCTCAGGGAACTCCCCTACAAAAAAATTATTATATAATTATCAATATCTTTCTATTTTATAAAGGAAGAGATCATAAGGAATACATAACATTTTTTCTTAAATCCAACTGATGGTTCTGGCCACCTCATACGGAGGATTTTATTCACACGAAAAAAATTATCCATAACTGTAAATACAAATAAACATAAATAACTAATATATAAACAGAACGAAAACAGAAAACTAATAAAATAAGTTAAATCGTTAAACCATACCACAGAAGGGATTGAACTCGCGGCGGCTTACCCTGGTCTGGTTTGTTTTCAATAAATCAATTGTTTATTGCATGAGTCAATTGTTTATTGACAATGTTGAAAAGTCATAAGATGAATCAAGGTAAAATGTCAGAAGAACAAATATGTGGGTCAAAGAAATGTAATTTTTGAAGCTAATTTAGATAATGAAATTTGCTTCTCTGATGTGAAAATCGTAGTTATCTTTTGGTACACAAATACGTAATTCTGGGTCGAACTTTAGATAAACACTCACGGACTTCATCTTCAACTGAAAGGAGACTTTCTGTCTTTGTTCTTGGTTAACTACACCAATATATTTACTGTTTTGCTATGAATGGCAGATACTCCACCTTCACATGGCGACCGTGTGTGCGTCCTGTACTCCAGTGACTCGTTTGATACACGAATCCGTCATGTATAGTTCCTGTCGACTGACTACTAAACTCAGTTTTATACTGGTATTGTATAGACGTCGCTGGTTGAAGACTGTTTTATAATACCTAAGTACATGCCGAACCTAATTACTAAAATTATGAATAGAAAATTTCACACAAAAATGACTCGGAAGCGCATTTATATGTGATTATTCTATTCTATTTATCACTATTTCTCTTGGAACCCCTCGAGATCTCTCGTGGAACCCTGGTTCAGAAACTGCTCTAACCTAGAGATCTCTCGTGGAACCCTGGTTCAGAAACTGCTCTAACCTAGAGATCTCTCGTGGAACCCTGGTTCAGAAACTGCTCTAACCTAGATATCTCTCGTGGAACCCTGGTTCAGAAACTGCTCTAACCTAGAGATCTCTCGTGGAACCTGGTTCAGAAACTGCTCTAACCTAGAGATCTCTCGTGGAACCCTGGTTCAGAAACTGCTCTAACCTAGAGATCTCTCGTGGAACCCTGGTTCAGAAACTGCTCTAACCTAGAGATCTCTCGTGGAACCCTGGTTCAGAAACTGCTCTAACCTAGAGATCTCTCGTGGAACCCTGGTTCAGAAACTGCTCTAACCAAGAGATCTCTCGTGGAACCCTGGTTCAGAAACTGCTCTAACCTAGAGATCTCTCGTGGAACCCTGGTTCAGAAACTGCTCTAACCTAGAGATCTCTCGTGGAACCCTGGTTCAGAAACTGCTCTAACCTAGAGATCTCTCGTGGAACCCTGGTTCAGAAACTGCTCTAACCTAGAGATCTCTCGTGGAACCCTGGTTCAGAAACTGCTTTACCTAGAGATCACTCGTGGAACCCTGGTTCAGAAACTGCTCTAACCTAGAGACCTCTCGTGGAACCCTGGTTCAGAAACTGCTCTAACCTAGAGACCTCTCGTGGAACCCTGGTTCAGAAACTGCTCTAACCTAGAGACCTCTCGTGGAACCCTGGTTCAGAAACTGCTCTAACCTAGAGACCTCTCGTGGAACCCTGGTTCAGAAACTGCTCTAACCTAGAGACCTCTCGTGGAACCCTGGTTCAGAAACTGCTCTATCCTAGAGACCTCTCGTGGAACCCTGGTTCAGAAACTACTCTAACCTAGAGACCTCTCGCGGAACCCTGGTTCAGAAACTACTCTAACCTAGAGACCTCTCGTGGAACCCTGGTTCAGAAACTACTCTAACCTAGAGACCTCTCGTGGAACCCTGGTTCAGAAACTGCTCTAACCTAGAGACCTCTCGTGGAACCCTGGTTCAGAAACTGCTCTAACCTAGAGACCTCTCGTGGAACCCTGGTTCAGAAACTGCTCTAACCTAGAGACCTCTCGTGGAACCCTGGTTCAGAAACTGCTCTAACCTAGAGACCTCTCGTGGAACCCTGGTTCAGAAACTAACCTAACTAAACTTAACATAACGTAAATCGATACATTTGCTGCAAAGCGTATCCCAAACCTTAATGTTGAATTTAAGAAGATGGGTCGACTTACACTTCTTTGTGCACTCAGTTACCCACGATAAATAAGGAAATTATCCTCTTATGTGTTTACATAATAATTAAGACCGGGGTAAAAAATACAATACAGTAGTGAGTAATTAGGTGTCGTTGCGGTAAAGCACCCGGCTGTACCAACAAGAGACTGGTTAGATTCACAGTTAATAGCAAGACGCTTGAGCAAATTACCCAACACCTGCTAACTATCGGTATATAAACAACAGGGTATTAGACAAGTGTTAAATGGTAAGGGTGAGGGGTAGGTAGTACTATACCATAAATACGGATGCCCTCTAACACCTGAGTCAGTAAATTAGCTGAGGTAGAATAACATCTCAGCCACTGATTTCGATGATGCTCCAAAAATCTAATAACTGCGTTTCCCTTACTTACTGGTTTATATTTAATATTAAAATAGATTAAAACAGAAACGTGAATTGTAGAGAAATACCGCCATAGACACCAACATGTAGGGAATGCTGCTCCTGTCTGTGTTTAAGCCACATAATAAGGTGGTCAGCTTATTATTATTATGAAAACCTCTGTGATATTTTAGGTGAATCTCTTGGTGTGGTTGACCTAATATTTTTAATATATTCCTTTAACTTGTCATGATCCTTGAAATTCATTATTATAAGTCTGCAAATGTTATTTTATTGGCATTAGTAAGTGCGTATGTGTTGTATTTATTAAATTAATGTTATTTTTATATAGTGAGTCCTGAATGATATTTCTATCTCATTTCTAAATTCCATATTTCCCAAGTCTTGACTCTGTAGTTGTTAATGTTACACTGTTCTGTGTGATGAATGGTTTATTCTGTATTAATAATGTCAACCACCCCATCAGACGGAGGCGCCGCTGCTGATCAAGCCGTATATTACAATAATGACCAAGTCAGAGCTGCATGCTGTCATGACGGGAGGCTTCGCTACCATCGCTGGCTCCGTCCTCGCAGCTTACATCAGCTTCGGCGTCGACGCTGCTCACCTGCTCTCCGCCTCCGTCATGAGCGCCCCGGCAGCTCTCGCCTTCGCTAAGCTCTTCTACCCAGAGACCAAACAATCCAAGACCAGCGTCAAGGATATAAAGATCATTAAAGGGTGAGTCTAAGATTGAAATATAAGGACAAGAAAGAGAGGTAGACTTCATTGATGCTATAGTGAGAATGTTTTGATTGTTATAATGAATCACTTGGAGATTCTCACCTCTTTTCTTAACTGTTTAAGGCACCACCTTCATCAGTCGCTGTCAAAGTGCTCCGTAAACGTCACAACTACTACCTTTAGTCACCTATTTGACTATCTTACCAACAGTGAAATACTGTCTTGTTATTAAGAGGACAGGCTGACAATATATATACTGTGTGATGGTACACTGATATATAACGTGAAACACTTGACCAACAGAGACGAGGCCAACTGGCTGCATGCTGCCATGTTAGGAGTGACTAACGCCATCCCGCTGGTGGCAAACATCGCCGCCAACCTCATTGCTTTCTACGCCTTCATCTCCCTCTGCAGCAGTGTGTTTGACTGGTCGTGTACTTTGGCCGGCGCTGAGCCCGGGGTGTGCTCGCTCGAGGTGAGACCCCAACACTTGGCAACACCAGAGTGAATTTCACACACTAATGCTCTCACATATTCTGCTTCGTTATACACTAATGTTTACCATATGGTGAAAAACACACACACACACACACGCACACACACACACACACACACACACACACACACACACACACACACACACACACACACACACACACACACACACACACACACCCACCAAGTGCAAAGTCATGAAGATTGGGGAAGGGCAAAGAAGGCCGCAGACGGAGTACAGTCTAGGGGGTCAGAGACTACAAACCTCACTCAAGGAAAAAGATTTGGGGTGAGTATAACACCAGGCACATCCCTGAAGCGCACATAAACCCAAAAATAACTGCTGCAGCATATGGGCGCCTAGAAAAACCTCAGAACAGCATTCCGACATCTTAATAAGGAATCGTTCAGGACCCTGTACCAGTATACGTTAGGCCATATTGGAGTATGCGGCACCAGTTTGGAACCCACACCAGCCAAGCACGTAAAGAAACTAGAGAAAGTGCAAAGGTTTGCAAAAAGACTAGTCCCAGAGCTAAGAGGTATGTCCTACGAGGAGAGGTTAAGGGAAATCAACCTGACGACACTGGAGGACAGGAGAGATAGGGGGGACATGGTAACGACATACAAAATACTGGGGGAATTGACAAGGTGGACAAAGACAGGATGTTCCAGAGATTGGACCAGTAACAAGGGGACACAGTTGGAAGCTGAAGACACAGATGAATCACAGGGATGTTAGGAAGTATTTCTTCAGCCACAGAGTAGTCAGTAAGTGGAATAGTTTGGGAAGCGATGTAGTGGAGGCAGGATCCATACATAGCTTTAAGCAGAGGTATGATAAAGCTCACGGCTCGGGGAGAGTGACCTAGTAGCGATCAGTGAAGAGGCGGGGCCAGGAGCTCGGACTCGACCCCCGCAACCTCAACTAGGTGAGTACAACTAGGTGAGTACACACACACACACGCGCGCACGCACGCACGACGAGGTGTCAAAGAGGGCGCCTATGACGAGCGGGGTTCCCCAGGGGTCAGTCCTAGGACCGGTGCTGTTTCTAGTTTATGTGAATGACATGACGGAAAGCATAGATTCAGAGGTGTCCCTGTTTGCAGACGATGTGAAGCTAATGCGAAGAATTCAAACGGATGAGGATCAGGATCAGGTAGCACTACAAAGGGATCTGGACAGGTTGCAAGCCTGGTTCAGCAACTGGCTCCTGGAGTTTAACCCCACCAGGTGCAAAGCCATGAAGATTGGGGAAGGTCAGAGGAGACAACAGAGTACAGGCTAGGTGGCCAAAGACTGCAAACCTCACTCAAGGAAAAGGGATTCTGGGGTGAGTATGATGCCGAGCACATCTGAGGCGCGCATCAACCAAATAATTGCTGCAGCCTATGGGTGCCTGGCAAACCTAAGAATAGCGTTTCGATAGCTGAGTAAGGAGTCATTCAAGACTCTGTACACAATATACGTCAGGTCCATATTGGAGTATGTAGCACCAATATGGAACCCACACCTTGTCAAGAACATCGAGTAAGTGCAAAGGTTTGCAACAAGACTATTCCTGGAACTGAGTGATTTGTCCTACGAGGAGGACGTGAGGGATAGGGAAGACATGACTGAGAATAATTGACATGCTGGATAGGGACAGAATGTTTTTGATGGGACACAGCAACAAGGGGTCACAATTGGAAGTTGAAGACTCAGCTGAGTCACAAGGATATTAAGAAGTATTTCTTCACAGAGTTGTCAGGAAGTGGGAAAAATCTGGAGTGATGTAGTGGGGGCAGGATCCATACATATCTTTAAGAAGAGGTACCATAAAGCTCATGGAGCAGGGATTTAAACCTAGTAGCGACCAGGGAAGAGGCGAGGCCAGGAGCTGTGACTCGACCTCTGCAACCACAAATAGGTGAGCGCACATGCACACTCTTACGTCAGGCCCAACACTAGTTTGGAACCCACACCTGGTCAAGCAAGTCAGGAAATTAGATATAGTGCAAAGTTTTGCAACAAGACTAGTCCCAAAGTTAAGGGGTATGTCCTACGAGGAGAGGTTAAGGAAAATAAACCTGACGACCCTGGAGAACAGGAGGGATGGGGGACATAATGACATAATATACTGACAGGAATATAATAATGGTTATAAATGACCATAATTTTTAAAGGGGTGGACCGGTAAGCCAGCGGAAGGCCTCGGTCAGATGACCAAAAGCTCCAAAGGCGGGTCATCATCTGACTAAGACCCGCGTCAGGAAACATTTGTCCTGTTTCCTGACGAACCGAACCTAACCTAACCTAACTGACAGGAATCGACAAGGTAGATAGATACATGTTCCAGAGATGTGACAAAGCAACAAGGGGTCACAACTGGAAGTTGAAGACTCATATGAGTCACAGGGATGTTAGGAAGTACTTCTTCAGTCATAGAGTTGTCAGGAAGTGGAACCGTCTGGAAAGTGATGTAGTGGAGGCAGGATCCATAAACATCTTTAAGTAGAGGTATGATAAAGCTCATGGAGCAGGGACAGAGTGGACCTTGTAGCTACCAGTGAAGAGACTGGGCCAGGAGCTGTGACTCGACCCCTGCAACCACAGTTAGGTGAGCACACATACACTCAGTAAATTTGCCACAGACCATAATAAGAAATTATTGACAATTATATGAAAGATGACTTTGTGGTTAACATTAACATGGTATATTTTGTGGTTAACATTAACATGGTATATTTTGTGGTTAACATTAACATGGTATATTTTGTGGTTAAAAATTTAAAATGGTATATTTTGTGGTTAACATTAACATGGTATATTTTGTGGTTAACATTAACATGGTATATTTTGTGGTTAACATTAACATGGTATATTTTGTGGTTAACATTAACATGGTATATTTTGTGGTTAACATTAACATGGTATATTCTTTAAGGACGCTGAAGTGCTCTGCGGGTTAATGAAGACAATGTAACAATTTTCCATTATCAATGTTATAAACCATACCACGGGTGGGGTTTGAACCCGCGGTCAGACAGTCTCAGCTAGTTGGCCCAGTGGCTGCCGCGTCGGTCTGGAGTTTTGCGACTCTGACCGCGGGTTCAAACCCCACCTTTGTTATGTTTGTTTGCAATCGTGTCATTACGATTTCGTGAATCAATTTTATAATTTAATAATCTGTGTTGAGTATTTATGTTCGTTGACTTTCTGACATTATATATATATATATATATATATATATATATATATATATATATATATTATATATATATATATATATATATATATATATATATATATATATATATAAAGGGAGGCGGTAATTTCATGCACTGGCCAGGGAGGTATACCATCTTTTAGGAGTGAAGAAGAGCAGAATGTAAGTGTGGGGGAGGTACGTGAGGCATTACGTAGAATGAAAGGGGGTAAAGCAGCTGGAAATGATGGGATCATGACAGAAATGTTAAAAGCAGGGGGGGATATAGTGTTGGAGTGGTTGGTACATTTGTTTAATAAATGTATGAAAGAGGGGAAGGTACCTAGGGATTGGCAGAGAGCATGTATAGTCCCTTTATATAAAGGGAAAGGGGACAAAAGAGATTGTAAAAATTATAGAGGAATAAGTTTACTGAGTATACCAGGAAAAGTATACGGTAGGGTTATAATTGAAAGAATCAGAGGTAAGACAGAATGTAGAATTGCGGATGGCAAGGAGGTTTCAGAGTGGGTAGGGGATGTGTAGATCAAGTGTTTACATTGAAGCATATATGTGAACAGTATTTAGATAAAGGTAGGGAAGTTTTTATTGCATTTATGGATTTAGAAAAGGCATATGATAGAGTGGATAGAGGAGCAATGTGGCAGATGTTGCAAGTATATGGAATAGGTGGTAAGTTACTAAATGCTGTAAAGAGCTTTTATGAGGATAGTGAGGCTCAGGCTAGGGTGTGTAGAAGAGAGGGAGAATACTTCCCAGTAAAAGTAGGTCTTAGACAGGGATGTGTAATGTCACCATGGTTGTTTAATATATTTATAGATGGGGTTGTAAAAGAAGTAAATGCTAGGGTGTTCGGGAGAGGGGTGGGATTAAATTATGGGGAATCAAATTCAAAATGGGAATTGACACAGTTACTTTTTGCTGATGATACTGTGCTTATGGGAGATTCTAAAGAAAAATTGCAAAGGTTAGTGGATGAGTTTGAGAATGTGTGTAAAGGTAGAAAGTTGAAAGTGAACATAGAAAAGAGTAAGGTGATTAGGGTATCAAATGATTTAGATAAAGAAAAATTGGATATCAAATTGGGGAGGAGGAGTATGGAAGAAGTGAATGTTTTCAGATACTTGGGAGTTGACGTGTCGGCGGATGGATTTATGAAGGATGAGGTTAATCATAGAATTGATGAGGGAAAAAAGGTGAGTGGTGCGTTGAGGTATATGTGGAGTCAAAAAACGTTATCTATGGAGGCAAAGAAGGGAATGTAAGAAAGTATAGTAGTACCAACACTCTTATATGGATGTGAAGCTTGGGTGGTAAATGCAGCAGCGAGGAGACGGTTGGAGGCAGTGGAGATGTCCTGTCTAAGGACAATGTGTGGTGTAAATATTATGCAGAAAATTCGGAGTGTGGAAATTAGGAGAAGGTGTGGAGTTAATAAAAGCATTAGTCAGAGGGCAGAAGAGGGGTTGTTGAGGTGGTTTGGTCATTTAGAGAGAATGGATCAAAGTAGAATGACAATGGAAAGCATATAATCTATAGGGGAAGGAAAGAGGGGTAGGGGTCGTCCTCGAAGGGTTGGAAAGAGGGGATAAAGGAGGTTTTGTGGGCGAGGGGCTTGGACTCCAGCAAGCGTGCATGAGCGTGTTAGATAGGAGTGAATGGAGACGAATGATACTTGGGACCTGACGATCTGTTGGAGTGTGAGCAGGGTAATATTTAGTGAAGGGATTCAGGGAAACCGGTTATTTTATCATATAGTCGGACTTGAGTCCTGGAAATGGGAAGTACAATGCCTGCACTCTAAGGAGGGGTTTGGAATATTGTCAGTTTGGAGGGATATGTTGGGTATCTTTATACGTATATGCTTCTAAACTGTTGTATTCTGGCACCTCTGCAAAAGCAGTGATAATGTGTGAGTGTGGTGTGAAAGTGTTGAATGATGATGAAAGTATTTTCTTTTTGGGGATTTTCTTTCTTTTTTGGGTCACCCTGCCTCGGTGGGAGATGGCCCGACTTGTTGAAATATATATATATATATATATATATATATATATATATATATTATATATATTATATATATATATATAATATATATATATATATATAATATATATATATATATATAATATATATATATATATATATATATATAAATATATATATATTATATATATATATATATATATATATATATATATATTATTATATATATCAATAACAACAATGCACTGTAAGAATTAATAATTTTGTATCAAAAGAACATAAGAAAACTTAACTAACCTTATTATAACAAGCGCAATTTAATTTGGTCTAATCCATCTAAATATATTTTAGATAAGTTTGCAATAATCAAACACAATGAAATATATTTTTTTCGTTAGGTTCAGAATTATTTTTGCAAAATTATTGCATACACAAATTTTCGCTTGCCTTATTCGGCAAGAAGTGTGTCGCTATATTGTTTGTGTATGTGTGTTAGAGGTCTGAATTACCTACACTGACCAAATGCTTAATAAATATAACATGTAGTATTTGTTATATATGTGCAGAGTTTGTTTGGATGGATCTTCATGCCGCTGGCCTGGGTGATGGGCGTCGACTGGTCAGAGTGTGACAGAGTCGGGGAACTTATCGGCATCAAAACTATAATCAACGAGTTTGTGGCTTATTCCAAACTCTCCGAGATGAAGAAAGCCAAGCAGCTCTCGGTAAGGCTATATATCAACATTTGTTGTAAACAATTTGGTTGGATATTCAGGCGTCCGTCATAATTACTTTGCTAAAAGCTCTTAGTGTTCTGTACTTGTAAGACCAATATTATGCCATGTAGGTTTTATTTTGATCTAGTTTCCCAACCTTCTAGGGAAGGAAAGGGGGGCGGGGGGAAGAGTGCGTTGATGCTGGAGAAAGGCACTTGATCCACGGAGCTGGAGCTATCCTTTTCTTTGTTCAAAACTGATTACCTTCCACACTCTAGATTCTGTACGAACCCTACGGATTTATTTCCCGTGAGGATGATAATCACTGGTGTAGTAACGCCGTGACAGGGCCATTGTTTGCTAAACAAGAGAAGTACGTGACTGTGTCATGCTAGATGCACTGTGCACTGTGCACTCTTGATCATTATTATCATTTATTATCATTACTATGCGCAAAATAATAGTAATTTATCTATGTTCCCCCAGAAACGTGCAGAAATCATCGCCACGTACGCTCTGTGTGGCTTCAGCAACATCAGTTCAATTGGCATCTGTCTGGGTGGGTTTGGCTCCATGGCTCCAGACCGCAAGGCTGACCTGGCCAAGGTGGTGGTTAGAGCCATGATCGCTGGCAGCTGTGCCTGCTTCCTTACAGCCTGTGTTGCAGGTACGTCCTCTCTCTCTCTCTCTCTCTCTCTCTCTCTCTCTCTCTCTCTCTCTCTCTCTCTCTCTCTCTCTCGTGTGTGTGTGTGTGTGTGTGTGTACTCGCCTAGTTGTGGTTGCAGGGGTCGAGCCTCAGCTCCTGGCCCCGCCTCTTCACTGGCCGCTACTGGGCCACTCTCCCTGAACCATGAACTTTATCATACCTCTGCTTAAAGCTATGTATGGATCCTGCCTCCACTACATCGCTTCCCAAACTATTCGACTTCTTGACAACTCTGTGACTCAAGAAATACTTCCTAACATCCCTGTGATTCATCTGTGTCTTCAACTTTCAACTGTGTCCCTTTGTTGCTATGTCCCATCTCTGGAACATCCTGTGTGTGTGTGTGTTTGTGTACTCACCTAATTGTCCTCGCAGGGGTGGATTTACAGCTCATGGCCCCAACCTGCGTGTGTGTGTGTGTGTGTGTGCACTCACCTCTTTATAGTTCCAGAGGCTCCCGCCTTTTCGCTGTCGCAACTAGATCCACTCTTTCTCTAAGAGCCTTGTTGTACCTCTTCTTGAAACGGTATATGATGGATGCTGCCTCCATTTCAGTAACTGTTCTACTTTCTGACAACTCTATTACTGAAGAAATACTTCCTAACATCTTATAACTCATCTGAGTTTTCAACTTCAGTTGTGGCTCCTTTTATGTTTGTTTGGGAGGGGGGGGGAGAGGGCAAGTGGCAGCTGTACCCGCTTCCTTACTGCCTGTGATGCTGGTACCTTCTCTGCTGTGTAGATTTGGGAATTGTTGGGAGGCGGCTTATATTTTTATATGTATTCACATATTTATTATTACAAGGGTTGAGTCTCAGCACCTGGACCGTGTTCTTAGCATGGTAAGATTGGTTGTACAAGTTTCCTACCAACTCATTTGCGTTCTTAACTTCCAGTTGTGTCCTCTTATTCCCTGTCCTTTAATTTCAAGTTTGTGTCTTCTCTTTAAAGCTTTGTATATCATCAACGTTGTTATAATGTCTTCTGCTTCTTCTTTCCTTAATGGTTATTAGGTTCAGTTTGTTTAGCTTCTCGTAGGTCAGCGGTGATACCAGTCTTACTGCAAATTTTTAAGCTTTCTCTAGTTTCTTTGTCTTATCGGATGTGGGCAGAAGTAGACTACCAGAGGCATGATTGTACTATGATTATTTGAAGGTCTTTATGCTTGTTTGAGGTCTTATATCTCGCTGGTCTTTACTCCGGCACTGGTCTTTACTCCGGCACTGGTCTTTACTCCGGCACTGGTCTTTACTCCGGCACTGTCTTTACTCCGGCATCTTACTCGGCATGGTCTTTACTCCGGCACTGGTCTTTACTCCGGCACTAGTCTTTACTCCGGCACTGGTCTTTACTCCGGCACTGGTCTTTACTCCGGCACTAGTCTTTACTCCGGCACTGGTCTTTACTCCGGCACTAGTCTTTACTCCGGCACTGGTCTTTCACCTCCAGATATTCTAAGGTTTGCAGTTGCTGGATTCAATTCCAGTAGACATTTTCATGGAGTATATACAACTGTCAAAGAGCTATTGCAGTATTTTCCATGATCTATCCAGTTAGTATATCTATATTATTATTTATATACATCTATAAATTGAGGAATATATATATATATGAAACTATCTCTTCCGGTATGTGGTACACATAGCTGAAGGACAGGACTGACCCCTGGGGGACCCCGCTTATCACCTCTGCCCATTCTAATATATCCTCTCTGATCACTACCGTCTCCTTTCCCTTGGGTATTATACGATCCGTTTTAATATCTTTATCGTTTTTCTTGTGTGTTCTTCTAGTTGGTAGACCAGTCAGTCTGTGATGTGGCACAGCATCCGATGTTGAAAAACAGGAATATACAGTCCGCCCTCTCCAGTTTCCTGCATTAACTTTGTCAGACAGGGCACTATAACCAGGTGCTGCTTATCATATATGAATGTTTCTCCCGGTACTCCATATTCTGTTGTCCTCTCTGTTTCCTGTTTCAAAGATACATGTCTGTTACTTAGCCTTTCTCCTCCCGCTTCCTTCAGTATTAATATTACATTTATTGTCTTGCACATTTTCTCCTTGCATGGTATTTGTAGTTATTCTCGTCTCTCTCACCAACTTAAACTATCTTCCACTTTTTTTTTACGCTAAACTTTGGTAGTCAGTTGTTCGACTGATCTTGTAGCTTCTCTTATCAACAGCTTCATTCTTCAGTGGGAATGTCATCACTGCTATTCATATATATTGATGTTATTAATGTATATTAAGTCAGTTCTTGTGGTTAATCTTCTTAAAACTGCTCCTTAATAATTCCTTAATTCAGGGGTTATTAACCGAGGGTATCCATACCCCTTGGGAGTATGGGAACCCAATAATGGGGGTATGGGAACCCAATAATGGGAGTATGGGAACCCAATAATGGGGGTATGGGAACCCAATAATGGGGTATGGGAACCCAATAATGGGAGTATGGGAACCCAATAATGGGGGTATGGGAACCCAATAATGGGAGTATGGGAACCCAATAATGGGGGTATTGGACTCAGTCTCCGAACAATTTAAAAATAATGTTATTAGATTAAACTATCAGGTGTTCTGTGCTCGTTGTCCGTATGTAAAGCAAAACAAACTATTGACATCCGTTGAAGTCATATTGGTACCTAATAAGACTGCTGATAATGATGATTTCTACAGTCTGGTGAAGGGCGTATGGGGACATATTAGGCAATCCACTGGTTGTTTGTAATGGTACAAAGGTTAAGTACCCCTGTGTTAATCTGTTGAAGCACTTTTCCTTCAACGGTACAATGCTGTTTTGGTGTTTGATTATTAAATTCTGCCGGCTTACTGTATGTTTTCTTACTGTCCAAGAATATGTAACTTACGTATCTATTTTTTTGTTTAATTGGTCTCCTGTATTCTGTCACATAAGTCCGGTAGGTTCACAAGTCAGGACCAACTTTCCGTAAATCCATTCTGGTTTCCTGCCACTGAGTTCCTACCCTCTCGAAGTCATTCTACTTCGTTTCATCCTCTCTACATGTCCAAACCATCTCAATAACCCCTCCTCAGCCCTCTGGATAGTAGTTTTGGTAATCCCACACCTCCTCCTAATCTCCAAACTACAGATTCTCAGGGTGCTCAACCAACCTCATAAATTATCTGTTCCAGTGTGTGATAGTATACATGCCTGTAAGACTGCCCTATAATTCAGTGTTCTGATTATGTTTTCCGACCATATTTTACAGTTTTCCAGTTGTCCCGTTTCAAGTGACTTGCAGATCTTTGTTATAGGCTCTCAGAATTTTTCTGATATTTTAATAGTTATGGTAATATGTAGCCAGACTCCAGCCTTTCCTTGTATCCATCTCTTTCATTATAGTTAACATTTTGCCTTTGATGTGTGAATGTTGTTTAATCTCTCTTGGTCAGCCACTTTTTTTTGTGATGCCATCTTTGTCTCCTTATTGAACTTCTCTTCCAATCATCTTCTGAGTTCCTTGTTCACCTGTGTCGTTGTGCTACTCACTTCTACAGCCTTAGAATTTGGTCTTTATATATGTTCTTATGTGATTGGAACAAGTGTTTGTTTGGTGTTTGCTGCTGACACTCTTTGTTTGGTGTTTGCTGCTGACACTCTTTGTTTGGTGTTTGCTGCTGACACTCTTTGTTTGGTGTTTGCTGCTGACACTCTTATTCTTAAATTTCTGCTATGCTTGCTTTCATTTTTTCTTCTTTATATGCCCTCTTTATTCTGTACCCTTTAAATATTTGTTTCGTGTACAATAAGTCGTGGAAATACTCAGTTCTAGTGAGTGACTTGTTGGTTACGAGCATCATCATGTACTTCCTTCTTCCGTAGGTACATTACTGTACTCAGTTCTAGTGAGTGACTTGTTGGTTACGAGCATCATCATGTACTTCCTTCTTCCGTAGGTACATTACTGGCCTAGATAGTTGAGAAAGACACCAACTACAACTCCACACTTAGTCTTACCTGAGCCAGCACTCTCATCACCTGCACGAGGGAGGTTCTTCCTCTGGCATCGTGCGACTGTTACAAGTACTGCGTGTTGGCAGTGACTGTTTACCTCCCTGAGTGTCGACATTGTGAGAGGTCCTGATGTGTGCCGCAGCTTCCCGCACCTCTGATGTACTGTGGACAATTATCACGCTGTGATGGCACTACCTTTTAATGTGCAGAAAATATGCATAATATTAAAGTACTGGTTTATATAATTTTTTTTTTTATAAGGATAGTGACGGGAAAATATTTAACTTCACATTATCCCAGGAAATATTAATTATACTTCATGATGGATGTTCAGTTGTTCTTATCAGAATTAGTTATTCAAATTTATTAAGTAAAAAGTCAATGAAAACGTAAGTTAATAAGTAACTTTTTCCCACTGTGAAACGAATGACCAAATTTGTGTAGCAGGTGTGTGTAAGTATTCATGGTGAGGTAGTGTAGGTGGAGTGTACCTGGAGAGGGTGTCGGGGGTGAACGCCCCCGCGGTTCGGTCTGTGACCAGGTGGGATGATAAGTGAAATATAATTTCAATAATGTAGCCTAGTGTAACTCGGGTATTGTGTACTTAAATGTAAAAATTAGAGTGGAAACATTACTGTAGTACAAGAAGAACATTTGCTGGCCTAGGTAGTCAGACTGGCCCAGTGGCTCACCAGTACATTTGGAGTTTTACGATTTTGTACTGCGGGTTCAAGCCCCGCTCGTGTTATGGTTTGGTCAAAATAGTCTTACTATTTGACTATATATTTTCATTCTCCATGGGATAATTCTCAATTATTTTATATACTATTTTTTAATGTTTAAAGTAATACTTGCTAAGTTTATGTAAATCAGCTTGTGTAGTAAGTGGATGTGACTTAATGTTGTGATGTGACTTAATGTTGTGATGTGACTTAATGTTGTGATGTGACTTAATGTTGTGATGTGACTTAATGTTGTTGTGATGTGACTTAATGTTGTGATTGCTGACGTTAATTGTTGTGATGTGACTTAATGATTGAGAGGTGAACTTAATGATGATGTGCTTAATGTTGTATGGAAATTAATGTGGGATGTAGGACTTACAGTGTGTGATATGGAAACTATGTGTGTATGTAACTTACAGGTGGATGTACTTATGACTATGTTTGATGACCAGCGTAACTAAGTGTGATTTTAGAATACGGAGAAGTACACTCTAATATGCAGTTACACTACAGGGGATACCAGGAAACTACAGGGGATACTAGGAAACTACAGGGGATACTAGGAAACTACAGGGGATACTAGGAAACTACAGGGGATACTAGGAAACTACAGGGGATACTAGGAAACTACAGGGGATACCAGGAAACTACAGGGGATACCGGAAACTACAGGGGATACTAGGAAACTAACTACAGGGGGTACCAGGAAACTACAGGGGATACTAGGAAACTACAGGGGATACAGGAAACTACAGGGGGTACCGGAAACTACAGGGATACAGGAAACTAAAAGGGGATACTAGGAAACTACAGGGGATACTAGGAAACTACAGGGGATACTAGGAACTACAGGGGATACTAGGAAACTACAGGGGATACTAGGAAACTACAGGGGATACTAGGAAACTACAGGGGTACCAGGAAACTACAGGGGATACCAGGAAAACTACAGGGGATCCCTGGGGAAACTACAGGGGATACTAGGAAACTACGGGGGATACTAGGAAACTACAGGGGATACCAGGAAACTACAGGGGATACAGGAAACTACAGGGATCGGAAATAAGGGGTACCAGGAAACTACAGGGGATCAGGAAATACAGGGATCCGGAAACTCAGGGGATACCCGGAAACTACAGGGGATACTAGGAAACTACAGGGGATACCAGGAAACTACAGGGATACTAGGAAACTACAGGGGATACAGGAAAAACTACAGGGGATACTAGGAAACTACAGGGGATACCAGGAAACTACAGGGGATACTAGGAAACTACAGGGGATACCAGGAAACTACAGGGGATACAGGAAACTACGGGGGGAAAAACTAGGGATACCAGGAAACTACAGGGATACTAGGAAACTACAGGGGATACTAGGAAACTACAGGGGATACTAGGAACTACAGGGGATACCAGGAAACTACAGGGGATACTAGGAAACTACAGGGGATACTAGGAAAACAACAGGGGATACTAGGAAACTACAGGGGATACTAGGAAACTACAGGGGATACTAGGAAACTACAGGGGATACTAGGAAACTACAGGGGATACTAGGAAACTACAGGGGATACCAGGAAACTACAGGGGATACCAGGAAACTACAGGGGATACCAGGAAACTACAGGGGATACTAGGAAACTACAGGGGATACCAGGAAACTACAGGGGATACCAGGAAACTACAGGGGATACCAGGAAACTACAGGGGATACTAGGAAACTACAGGGGATACTAGGAAACTACAGGGGATACCAGGAAACTACAGGGGATACTAGGAAACTACAGGGGATACCAGACTACAGGGAAAACACAGGGGGATACCAGGAAACTACAGGG